CCCCCCCTGCACAGGGCTCGGGAGGTGACCACAAACGTAAAATTATCACAGGGTCGCTTTCTATTCACAGAAAGAGTTTACAGATAAGACACGCGGGAGGGTATGCCAAGGTCCCCCAGGTGGACCCCCACCCGAGCCCGCACTTCCTGTATTGTGTGTGCCCCTCCCCTCCTGCCAGCCATTAGCCAGACATGAATCAGGCAGCTGTCACCTGGACGTAGTTGCTCTCGCAGTAGTCGGCCACTCGGGTGAGGTTCTGGTAACTCTCGAACAGAGCCCGCTTGCCGGCCGGGATCTCTTCCTCTAACAACATCTGCAGCTCTGCCATCTTCTAGCCGTGTGCATCTCTTCCTTGTACACCGGAGGAGAGACAACTGAGCCCAGACCCACCCGCCTGCTATTCTGGGATTCCGAGCCTCGCTTTCGGCTCAGAGACGGCTCCTCCCACTACGCGCTCCCTGCCCGGCCTCCGTAGGTGGAGCGCGGAGCTTGTCGGGATTTGTAGTCTTCCCGCTAAAGGCGCCTCTCAGCTGTAGTGGAGGTGTACTGAGAACCTCTATCGTAGGTCCCGCTTGTCCCTCAGAGGGACTGTCCTTCCCATGGAAATTATTTCCTCAGTTGTCCTTCCTTTTGTTGTGATGTAGAGACAAATACACAATGCACTACTATCATTTCCACCTTATTACTCAGAAAGAACCCTGGAGATAATCCTCAGGGAAAGTGATCAGATCTACAGCTAGCAGTACATTACCCAGAACCCCCAACCGTCCCGATTTCCGCAGGAAAGTCCTAGTATTATAGTTAAATGATTAATTAGGAACGGCACTGCAAGTCCATTGCACGTTTTTGACACATTCCGTCAACGTCAAAGCATATATTTTTTCCAAAGTTTGGCGCGCGTTCATAGAACACCTAAAGGCCGTGACACACTGCAGGCGAAGCAGCGCGGAGCGGTGGCGCTAAGGTTGCCACCTGTCCAGGATTCACCCGGACAGTCTGGGTTTTGAATGCTGTGTTCGGGTTTCATGGAAGCAGAAACCCGGACACAAGATCGATGTCAGGCAGACAGGGGCAACCAAAATTAAGATAGGGGCTACTGGCCACCCACTGAAAATAGTCTAAACTGTGATATTTACATATGAATGGGTGGCGCTATTTACATATGAGTAAGTCACAACTTATTCTCCTAAAAAAATGTCCTCACGTCACTAGAGTGTTCGGGTTTCGCTGGAAGAAAAGGTGGCAACCCTAGGTGGCGCGCTGCCTTTGCGAGCAGTGTGTCATGTAATTTTATTCTGGCCACCTCAGCTGGCGAGAGCTGGCGGAGCTGAGCGTGCCGAGATGAACAATTTCAACTTCAGCCAATCGGCTCGCAGGA